GTTCTCGTCCACGATCTCCAGCCGCACCGACACGTTGCTGCTCAGCGCCGGCGCGCCGCCGTCCTCCGCCCGCACCCACAGCCCCACCTCGCGCACCTCCTCGTAGTCGAACGACCGCAGCGCGTACAGCGCGCCCGTCTCCGCCTCCACCGACACGTACGACGACAGCGCCGCGCCCCGCACGCGACCCTCCCCCAGCCGGTACCGCACGCGCGCGTTCTGGCCCCAGTCCGCGTCCGTCGCCCGCACCCGCAGCACCAGCGCGCCCGCCGCGTTGTTCTCGGCCACGCGGGCGCTGTACCGCGCCTCCGCGAACACCGGCGCGTTGTCGTTCACGTCCAGCACGCGCAGCGCCACCACCGCGCTGCTCCGCAGCGACGGCGACCCGCCGTCCGCCGCCCGCACCGTCACGTTGTACTCCGACACCTCCTCCCGGTCCAGCTCCCGCGACGTCACCACGCTGTAGTAGCTGCCCCGCGAGCTGCGCAGTTGGAACGGGCCGCCCCCGTCCAGCGAGCACCGCCCCTCGCCGTTGGCCCCCGAGTCCCGGTCCTGCACGTGCAGCAGGGCCACCACAGTGCCGTGCGGGGCGTCCTCCGAGATTTCGCTCAGTGCTGAAGACACAGTCAATTCGGGCTCGTTGTCATTCACGTCTGTCACCATAATCGTGACTTTTGCTGTGTCGAAGAGCCCTGCTCCGTCATGTGCCTGCACTTCCAGTTCATGTGAGGAGATTTTCTCAAAGTCCAAACTGTCCTTAAGGGATATTTCTCCAGTTTCAGAGTCCAAATGAAACATTTCTGATGATCGGTCTGAAATTTTATGGAAACTGTATTTCACGTGCCCGTTCAGACCCTCGTCGGCGTCAGTGGCAGACCCGCTGACGAGGGTGGAGCCCACGGGCACGTCCTCCTCCACACGCACCGCGTACTCCGCCTGGCTGAACACGGGCGCGTTGTCGTTCGCGTCCAGCACCAACACGCGGATCCGCGCCGTGCCCGTCCGCGACGGCTCTCCGCCGTCGCTCGCCCTCAGCACCAGCTCGTGCAACGCCGCTTCTTCCCGGTCCAGCGCCTTCACCAGCACCAGTTCGGGACGCTGAGCCCCGCCGGGGCCCGTCTGCACGGCCAGCGAGAAGTGATCGTCGCCGCTCAGCTCGTAGCTCTGCAGGGAATTCGGGCCAGAGTCCGGGTCATGAGCGTTCCGGAGAGGAAATCGCGATCCGGCCCAGGCGCGGTCGTCTCGCTCATTCTCAGTTCTGTCTCTGCTTCGCGGAAGTTGGGCGCGTTGTCGTTAATGTCCATAATCTCCACTTCTATTTCGTAAAACTTCATTTCCCCCTCCACTATCACCTCACAGCGCAGCACGCATTGCCGAACCCTCTCGCACAGCTGCTCTCTGTCGATCCTCTCCGCCGTCACCAAATGGCCCGTCTTCCCATGCAGACCGAAATACTGCGTCCTACC